CTCTTCCTGTTCCTTGTCCTCTTCCTTTTCCTTCTCCTCCTCTTCCTCGCTTCCTCTTCCTTTTTCCTTCTCTCTCCTTTTCTTTTTCTTGACAGGAAAACCACCTGCAACCATTCAAATGGAAGAAATCGAAACATGGATATGGCTCCGGGTATTTCTTCCATTTCATCTGGCCTCGGGCCATTTTCCGACCCCACATCAAATGGAAGATCGGGAACTTGTTGGTGCAAATCATTTCTTCCAAAATACAGCACGGTACTATAAACATAATTTAACTCCTGTAGGAGTAGGCGCCTGCCTAGAAATTCTGGCTTACAGTAACCTCAACGAACCGGATCAACACCACTCTCAGTTAGGTCCAACACAAACATCAAATGCACATGCAACTTGTGTTGACATGTGTGGACTAGGTCTGTGTGCATCTTGCCACCACTTGGTCATATCTGCCACCCTATTATACACCTGCTTTCTGTTAGGAGACAACCCTCGGAATGAACCTAAGATCCGAAGGTTTTTGATGCACATGCAGGACCTCAGGATATCTCCATAGAAATGGATTTCCCAGGCCAATCCATACAGCGAATCCACAGGTCTCATGTCAGACTGATTCAAAGGGAAGTGGCTCTGGAGCCTTTTAAAGGAAGGACAAAAGCAGCTCCAAAGTTAGATGCGACAAATCCAAGCTGCGGCCAATGTTCGGTGCTCGTGCAAATGGCAATGGCGTTGTTGAAGCCTGGCAGCATCGAACGTTGGTGCTACGCCTATCTTGGACCGCTCCTCTTCTTGGCGCAAGTTCTTCAAATGGAGCAGCTTGATGGCGTGATGTAGAATCAATCAAATGCATGAATATCGGAGATGGGTGGAGAACAAAACACATAGTCAAACAAAAATGGTTCATTCGTGTATATGCGTAATATAGATGTCGACATTGAAGCTTACACATACGGATGAAACTGATCGTGCCCGCACAAAAGTCAGACCTGCCGAAAGGTGGTGTAGCACAACGATGGATTATCACATGCATCACTAAGACTACACAACTGGAGAGCTTGGCGCCAGACAAGCGGCCTGCGGAAGGCATTTCACTTCCGAAGAGCTCCAATGCCAATGCCCAGTTGGCATTGCAAGCTGAAATAGCTGAGCAGTGGCCTGGGGTGATCAATGGTGAACCAAAGAAGTGTGTATATATCACTACTCCCTTCCGGGGGGCTCAAAATTGTAACTCGCAATTTTGGGTTGCTCAAAATGCAGGTTTTCGAAAAACGGTGATTTTTGATCTTAGAGGTATAGAATACCTTCATCTGACCAAACAGGGGCTGGGCACGTTCAAGACACGTAAAATACATTTTTGAGCGTCAGGTGGACGCATGGACCCTGGCCGTCAGAATTGCAAGCAACTTCTATTCCGTGGGTTTGGTTCGGTTTGTTTGACGTTGTTACTGTTTTTGTGGGTGTGTCCTTGAAGGACGCCTGCAGTGGTCCCGGTGGAGGGGTTCTTAGACAGCAAGAAAAAAATGCCCCCGCTTCTGCGGGGATCTAGTTAGTAGTATGGCTTTGTGCACTATTGTACGCGCTGTGCAGTGTTTTTTTACTTACACGTGCTAGCTGCAACATTTATTTGAGGAGCTAATTAATTGAGATATTAGACCTTCTGGGTGTTTTTTGGTACACACTGAGCAGTGGTTTTCCTTGTGTGCGTGCTGGTCTCAACATTTCTTGGAGAAGCTTCACACGTGGGGAAGGAGGGAATCTAATTGTAATATTGGTTTCTGGGTGCACTATGGCACGCACTGTGCAGCGTTTTTCATTGAATGTGCTGGCCTCAACATTTC